CTCTTACCCTTTTGCGCAAACAGAAAGAAAGAGAGAAGAGAGGAAGAAAGNAGAGAGAGAGAGAGAAAGTGTACACAAGGAACAAAGCACGTAGAAATAGCACGAGAATGGAGCGGAGAATATCAAGTTCGTTTCAAGATTCGCGAAATCTCATTTCCAGCGTGTTCAAATGGGGAGGGGGAGAGGCGGGTAAATGGGGAATGGAAAGAGTTCGTTATTGCGGGATCGCGATCAAAGAAATCGATGAAACCGATCCGCGGTCATAAATCATGGTTCTGCGAAGAAGGTGGGAAAATAAATGTCCTGCCTGACTGGCGTTGAAAGACTTTGCGGTGTGGGGAGGGGGGACAATTTACGATTAAGTCGTGTGACGTATCGAAGGAGAGCGTTCGAATAAATCTCACGTCATTTAGCAATGGTTCCACCGTTGGAAAACGCAAGGTTTCACGGTTGTTCGAACAGGATTCCATGATAAAGAGAATTCATGATAAACGAGGAGAGTTTGACCGAACCGTTTAATCCTGTAATCAACGATCGCGAACTCTCTCTCACTCTCTCTCTCTCGATGGTGGTCGCGTCGTGGAAGAAATTTCAGTCGCGTCTCTGTGGGAAGTTCGTTTCGAAAGGAAAGTTAGCGGTGTACGTTGCCGCAAACAACGTGGAACGCCTCTTAGGAATCGCTTTGTTATCGGTTTATACGTTTAGAAGTTTGCACCGGCACCGAAAGTCCGCAAACTTTATCTCATCCCGGGAAAGAATGGGCCCCCGTACGTCTTCGGGTAATGTTTATCGATCTTCATTTACAACTTCCTCCCCGGTGATGCGGTTCCGTATCCCTTGCGTGTAAGAATACACGTTAACTCGATTCGTGGAACAACGTGGAAGATAATATGTGGAAACTTCGAGAGAGAGAGAGAGAGAGAGAAAGAAAAAAAAGAAAAATCTAAATCCTCGTGCAAACTTCACTAGAACCGGAGAGAATGGGACACGTGGTGCATCGAACAGGATCGGGGACAAGAAGAGCGCTCAAGGAGAGTGGAGCACAATAGTTGTTTCAAAACGAAGGGAAACGATGGGTATCGTTGTGCTACTGCAGCAAATTCGAGCAACCGTGAATAGGGGATGACTGGGTTCTTTGAAGCGTGCATTTTTCGTAAAATATTCATACACGTATCCACACCACAGCCCGAGTCAGATACACCGTAACCCATCCCCTCTATTACCTGCTTTCAAGTAGCGAAAGAGCACGAGAGTCACGACTACATTCGTGCGCGCAACCCTCTGCCCGACAATAGGTTCTACTAAACTAAAGTAACGTTAAGTCTCCTCCCTTATTCAACCGACACCCCCTCTCCCTCTCTCTCTCTCCACCCCACCCTTTTTTAACTCTATGTCTATCTTTCGAGGATCGACACATTGGCCAGGATTGTATAAACGACTGTCGGTAAAAGACTCCCGGAGCATCCCTGCTCGGATCGAATAAAAGAATCAAGAGCTGAAATTCGAGAGTCGGGTTACAGCGCGTTTCCGGCAAACCGCGTATCCCCGAGCCATGCTTCCGTGAGCTTTATACAAGCTTTATACGAAACACATCGATGGGATGTTTGAGCGTGTTCGTTTCCAGAAATAACCCTCTCTCTTTCTCCCAAATGTTACCCTAGTCTACCATTCGTTCCCAGAGCGTATTCGTTCACGAGAGGATACGAGAGCGAGGATGGGGTATCGCGCGATACGTAAGACAAGCTCGAAACGTTTTTCCTCGTAATTTCACGGTGGCGCTGGTTTAAACGGCGTAATCCTCGCATCGGAACGCGCGCCCTTCCACCGAACTTTAATGCAGATTGCTGTTTAAATGGGAACAATCGACGCCATTATCGGGATGGATTTGCAGCGATCACGGTACCGGGGGATAATTTGCGCGAGTGAAGTCTGCCCGAATATCGCGAATTGCGCATTTCGTTTGTTATTTCGATTGCGCGGACACGATTACACGAACGAGTTAAAATCATCGGATCGAATTGATTTCTCCCCTCGTTTTCCTTCCTCGTCGAGAGATATAAATTCGAGTCTGTTTCACGAGTGGAGGAAAGAAGACGAAGAGGTAATTCCCTTAAATTGGTCTCATAAACATTACGTCGTATCGTATATCCCGCACAATCGTCGTGATACTGTCGTGATACTGTCGTGATACTGTCGTGAACGCTTGCTTAGCGTTCCGTATTGTCAATTTAAATCGCTTTGGATCGGTGTCAAGCGTATTGCGTATTGCGTGGTCGCGCGTCTGCGATCGTGCAAACACGCGATCCCACGTCGCTGAAAATCAACATGGATTCTACTTTGCATATATTCGTATTTGTACAGTACTCGATACTAATATTATCTATACGTCAATCTGTACGCGCGACGTGTATCTTTTTTTAATTCCTCAAAGCGTATCAAGCGTATCGGCGTACAAAAACCTACTCTACTAAAAAATTGATCGATTTTGAACCGCGTTTACGTACGGGCTTTATTTTAAGAATTCGAAAACGATCTCGTTGATTAAAAAATAATGGGAGAAATTACGAAAGTACGAAAATTCCCGCGCGAATATTTTTCGTTAACTTGCAAATCAATCGATATGGGGATATTTATTGTAAAAAAACTCGGGAAAAACCTCGGCGTTAAATGAAATTTCGTAACAGAGAACGGAACGTTTAATTGGCATGTTACAAGTAGATACGAGCCGCAACTAATCCAGAATGTTCTCGCGTGCAACAATACGGTCCAATTGAAAAGAGCCCCCCTCAAAAGCGCGGCTTAATGATCACATCGTGAATCGCCGTTTCATTTTCGACCGCGAATTTTTTAAATCTACAGTGATTTGCAAACTCGTTGTTTGTCTTTTTTTTTTCGCCGCCGCGTACGAAGCTAATTACGCTTGCGGAAAGTTGCATTACTTTACGCACCGACACGCGGTAACGAAACGCTCGCGATAAAAATTTCTGCACAAAGAATTCTGTATAAAATATACCGTTCCAAATCCTTTCACTACTTCCGTCCCATCCTTCTTTTTTTAAGCGTTTAATATTCGCATTTATTTACTTCGTATATCAATGTTCGCAATAGGCGAATCGTACGTCTTTAAAATCGTTACTAGAATTATCGAAAAATGATAAAAGTTGTTTCAATCCGTCGACAATACCACCGTCCATTTATATAAACAGAGTCGATTATTATTGGAATGGAAAAAAGTTTTTATTCCGGTAGGATAAAAAGAGACAATAAGTGAAAATTTATTCCCTTTTTCCATCAACCGGAATAATTTTTTTTTTTTTCTGTTCAATTTATAAGTTTTATCATTCAATGGATGGATTTTAGAGACGCACGTTGCCGAAAGAAAAAAAACGACTCCTCCTCCCGGCAAAAATCGTAAAATTTCAATGTGTTCTTCGAAACGTGTTCAATCGATGGAAGATCGTGAACGAACGAGTCAATATTTGCCGCGTGTCAAAGGATCATATCGCTTCGAGTCGCGTGATTTCTTCCTCGATACGTAGGCGAACATTGGCGAAATCGCGATGTAGCGAAAGGGCAATGTAACAAAGTTCTCCGTGACTCGTAACTCTGTCAAATATATCTGGTTTATTACACACTTTTGCCCCGTATTTTAGACACGTTTTTCCACCGCGTCGTCGAATATTACGCGTTAATAAATATCTCGCGTTCCTATTAAACGAGTCGACGATGCTCCATCGATATCGCGATTTCCAATTTCAACGATCGGCGAGAGCGAGGAGATCGACGCGAGCCAATTATTACGAAACAATTCAAATTCCTCGTATCAACATTTGTCTCGGATACGACGACTACTAAACGTTTAATCATCCGTCTCGTTTTCGATTAACTCGATATTACCCCCACGGAGAGTGCATTAAGACTAGCAATTAACCCCGTAATCCGTCGTCGCGGACGGATTAACGCGCGCCAACGCTTTAATACTCGACTTGCTGGTAACACGATTCCAAGATCGTTGGAACGAATTCGCGACAATAAAACACGAAACGCGAGTAAGGGGGCGAGCAAGAGTGTCGCTTTCGACCAACTAACAAGGGATGTTAAAAGGGTTTTAAATAATTCCACGTCGCTCGTGCTCGCCCCCTTCAACGATTAACCACCGAGGCGGAGTGCAAACACGATTTTTCGAGGCGGGCATAAATTCGTAGCGTCTAGTGCACTAATAGTACACGTTGTAACGCGTCTCTTGTCGCAAGCGCGGTAACATCGGTCCCGCGTGTCGCGCATTAATCCACTTCAAAGCGAAAAGGACGATGTCACGCGCAGAGGTTCGCGGGATGACGTACCGTTTCCCTCTCCCCACGAGATATGGGATTCCCATTGATCAGAGCGGCGTTCACTTAGCGGAGTATGCCCCCGTCTTTGCATACGGCCATTGTCTCGGCTACGCCGCTAATAGGATATTCGCGGGTGGCCGGAATATCCCGGTCGCATGACAAATCTGCTAATCGGCCCTCGCCTATGAAACCGTATAGGGAATCGTTATGGACGCGCGCGAGCCCATGAGTGATTAGTTTGACCCGTTTGTGGCGCGCACGGCTTCCTGAATATTGAACGGAAACGGGATTATATATTCCGGCTCCAGTTCGCAACGCGCTTTCGCAACCCTCGACAATACGTCGCTTTTTACGCCTCCTCCTCGTCGTCTCTTGGTAGCCAACTATCCTTTCTTCCTATTCCGTTCGTTGAAAATCAAATCATTTTAGTAGGGAAAGGATAATATTTCCATGTTAATTAATCGCTTCTGATAATAATGGAGATCGATAATTTCGGTCGCGCGCCAAGGTGGACGCGAACTGTAAGATGCCTTATCTGGCGGAACAGCGATCGTCTAACGGAACATCGGGATCCACGATGATACATTATGACGCATGGTTATTGATACAAATAGCCGCGATATCGCGTGAATTTATTACGTGGGAAAATTATTCCACGTTGATATCGTTCGTTCCGTTCCTAGATCAACGGACAAGATACACGTTTATCTGATGCAGCCGAGCCCTCTCCCCCCTTCCCCATTTCGAAATAGAATAATTGCAAAGTCAGACGCGCGGTGAAAACGCGCCGCGGCTCGAATTTAACGCGGGAATATATCAAGATTACCCGGATGGCGGGAGTGGAAACTTTTAAGACCGATTTTTCCGCGTTGAGAGAGAGAGAGAGAGAGAGAGAGAGAGAGGAAACGAAAGTCTATTTGAAAGATTCGTTGAAAGTTATAAGAGGACACGCCCATGGATTTTTTCATTTTTTTTTCTTTTTACGCGACACGCAAAAAACGATTCCAATTACGGTGCGAGGGGAAAAAAAAAAAAAAAAAATATGGAAGTTCTTCAAAATTGGACCGACAAATGTTACACACACTCGCGAAAATAAATTCCAATGAAAATTTCAATTTCGTCGCGTTACCACCGATTCGTAATTTTAACCTCGATCGCGAAAAAGGGAATTCGTCGAGGGTGAAGGGAGAAATTGCGCGATTCCGAGTCGACCGATGACAAATGTCTGTCAACAGGAAAGACTGGAGAATTTCAGTAACCGTGGAAGCGTCGGTCGTTGATGATTCCCCAACGCTATCACTATTATCGAAAGCATTCGAGTTAACCGTGTTCGAGCATCCTAGGCGTCGACCGGGCTATGTACACAAGCATAACTACTTCCTCTCAACCCTTTTGTTCGCCGAGCTGTTTCCTCGACCCTTGCCCCCATTCCCCTTCGTTCTTCCATCAATCATTTCAGTTTCTCGCTAGATTCGTCCATTATACTCGCTTCCCTATCCTCCTCCCTATCCACCCTATCCATCGTTTCGAAACTCGTTTTCAAACTTCGATACTCGAAAACGCGAGCAATTTCCCTGATAACGTTCGCCGATAAATTTTTTCCCTTTTTTCCCCTTTCTTTCTTTCTTTCTTTTTTTTTTTTTCCTTTTCATTTTTTGAACAAATTTCCAAATCACGGGCGTCTAATATAACGGGACGTAAATTGCATCCTGTTCCGAAAGGGTTGCTTGTCGCGTTAAATTCGTAATCGGCGAAATGGTATTTGGTTGTTGGAAACGTGGTTGTGCGTAGTTTCGAAAAGGGACGTTCCTTCAAACGAGCATCGTATCCCGATCGAATGCACGGTAACAAGAATAATTCCACGTAAATAGGATTATTTGTCGGCATTCGTTATCAGTTAGGAAATTTATTCCCATTTCGCAGCGGCGATCGAGCCATTCGTTTCGAAAATTATCCGAGAAACATCGATATGGTCGAGTAATTGTGTTTTCGCGAAGGGATTATTAAATAAAACGAAACTAAAATCCTGTTTATCATGGCGGTTGTTTTTCGGAAAAATATCCGAGGGAACGCGGCACACCGCTGCCAAATGGGAACTGTTGCAAACACGGCGGATGGAATGGTATTCAAAAATGATCAGATTTCCCGGAGGACGGTATTGAATTTGATCGGACTCGCTTAATTAAGCACACATTGTGCCCGTTTCAATGAAGTTGTTCGCATTCCGATTATAATATAAAACATCGATAGACGAATTAAGAGGTCGAACCTAAAGGTCCATTTTGACCATTCTTTCGACGAGAAGTTAATCCGAAGTTTTCCACTCAATAATCGAAGATTAAGATTATTCTCTTGACCGCTCGTTAAGAGATTTCACGTGCGAAGAAGAGAAGAAAGGAGAGAGAGCAATTACTCGAGGATGACGGAGAAAACAAACGAGATCGATTAAAATATATTTATGACCTTTTCGAACTGTGAATTTTAAAACGACGTAGCAATCGTTTAACGATAAACATTTTTAAAAACGACTAGACAGCGAATTACGGGCTGTTTAACCATTCGATTCGGGTCGCGAATTCACGTCCATAAAATATCGCAAACATTTTACGACAGAAACACTCGGTGGCTCGGTCGTATATTTGCATTCGAGTTCGGACACCAAGTTACTGTTTCGATAAATTTTGTAGATGATGTCGATTTCGTCATGCGAACGCGCCGTAAATATTTGTCGAACGTTTTATCGAAAGAGTTCAGATTCATTTTATAACGTATAACTTTTTGTTTAACGCGAAAAATACAATATCCCTCCACCCGTCATCCTTCTTCCCCTTTTTTCTCTCTCTCTCTCTCTCTTTCTTTTCCACCCCTTAAATATCATTGTCTCCGTTAAATCCAGATTAAAGTCTCGCAACGAGGAAGACGTTTAATACCTTCTCCGTTCTCACTTACGAGGATTAGAACTTATAAATCGTGATGGTGCATGCGAGGAAAGATGATTAAAGTATCAAAGTATCCGAACTGCGACGTGGTGGGAATAAATTTAACGCAGCATTGTCTCGGAAAACTAATAACGCCCCGTCGAAAGCAGCCCTCAAGGATCTAATGCGAGTTGGAGTATCGGTAAACTTTATCGGGAAAGAAGACTGACTGAAATTTTAATAAAGACCTTAGGAAGTTTGTCCTGCCAGCTACTCCAGACTTTCCCCTCGATCACCACAATCTATTCCATTCGAAACAATATTTCTTTACGGGATTATCCTAGCCTCCTTATCGCCCTACCCTCATCGACACGATACCTCAACCTCGCATTCTTTATTAATCATTCCTCCAATTACAACTTACCCTAACTCGACCGTAAGAGAGTTACCGACGCTTGGCTCAACGCTCGCCTTACAATCTCGAAAAATATCTATCTATCTAAAAAAATTTCGCGTCGAAACGGAATATCGAAGAAGACGATACCAAACGCAAAACTTGAACCGTGAAACGAAATTGCAACGATAATAATAACAGCAATCCGTATCGGACAACTCGTTTTTATCAAATTTCAATAAAGGGAAAACGGGGATTGAAAAGAATCGATCGATACGCTGTACGATAAAATAAAAAGGGCGTAGAGTGGCTCGAAACTCACCTCCAATCGTATTTCCTTTGTTGCCCCGTCGAGGGCGAGCCTCGCCTTTGATACACCGTGGACCGCGTGCAGGGAGCCAGACAATGCCACGAAATCAAGCGTCGCGATTGCGGTTGAAACTCGTGCAACTCCGTTCTCGCACTCTCATGGATCCTTGACCGCCCTCCAACACCTTCACCCGACGCTCGTCACTTGGAAAACCTTCCTTCTCCACCTTCTACGTATCTCACGCACTTTCACAACCCCTTCCCTTTCTCCTTCGATTGATCCTCGCCTGCGAGTTGATCTCTCTCTTTCTCTTTCTCTTTCGTTCGCGTGACCGTGTCGAACACGAGCGATGTATTTTGCGTTACGCGACGAGCACGGAACGCGATGTAAC